AAAAAAAAAATATTCAGATCTCTTCTTATATATTATATACAGTGCTTTTTGGAAAAATCAAGATAGAGAAAGTAAAAATGAGAGAAGCACTAATAAGAGGTCTAATTTTAAATGAAATACAAGACAAACTAATACAGCTTTTAAACATAAAATCAAAACAGCAGTTTGTGAACACAATAGCAATAACAACCTGGAACATATTTTATAAACAAGTATAGAGAATACATTGCAAAAAAATTAATGAATAGGAGAAAAAATTGAAATAACAGATAAAATTAAAAGAAAAAAAATAAAAAACTAAAGAAACTAAAGAAAAAAGAAAAGACAAATCAAAAAAAATAAAAGAAAAAAAAAAAAAAGTAAGAGAAAAAGGAAAATAAGTTGAGAAAGAAGTAATAAAGACAATGATGAAGCTTGTTATGAAAGAAAGAAGACCTTTTCATTACAAACTTTAAATAGTCAGACAAATAGCTTATTTCTGTTTGAAGTAATGTGACAGGTTGCACTTAGGTACCATTAAGGTGGCTGAGTAATGCTAAACTTAGATATTAGAGATATTTATATAGTTACAAATATAATTTCAAAATCTTAATAAAATACTAGTATAGCAAACTCTTTCTATTTTGATCTTATTTTTAAAGGCCTTATACTCAAAGCCTTAATTGAAACAATCCATAACTACAATATAGCAACTAAAATAGCTTTACAAATCATTATTCAAATACTTCTTGATATTAATAATCAAATTTACAACCAAATATAGAAACCATACTGCATCAACTTCTCTAACTAAAAAAAAAATAACAATATTATATCTCTTCAAACTCATAATATTCACAATACTTCACAACAGATACAACAAACTAGAAATTACAAAAAATTACATACAAACTATATATACTTATGCCTATATGAAATAACAGATCAATTTACATTTATGTCCTAATACTTGTCCACTAATTAGACAAGCTATTAGGAAAATCAATATATAATTGACACTTTGGATTAATTATAGTACATCTTACAATCATATTCTAACATTACAAATCTAGGTGGGCTTTGACTACCATAGTTGGTTTAGGTCACAGATAAAGTTGTCTAAGCTTTAATTCTTATATATAGTTTTTTATTTTGTATTTTACAATCTTAGTATATCTTTAATATATAGTATATTAATATATACAACTAAAATTACTAATAAAGATATGAGCAAGGCCTTACTTTAATACCAAAAAAATAAAATAAAATAAAGTACTAGCATGACTGCTTATATTAAAAAAAAAAATTATATTTTCTAAATAAAAAAATTAGAAAGGTTTTCTATCTTTAGATAGATATAACAATTTGAATAAAAGTTATTTTTTTTTGATGTTAAGATGATCTTTTTGGTCTTTTGACTTTATTAATAACTTTTTAGTAATGTAATTCAATAAACCACTACAAAAGAGCATACAATTAGCTAAATATATAATTTTTTTATATTGCTTATTTAAGGAGTCTACTCAAAAGTTCTTTACCAATTGCTATATCTAATATATTTGCTTAGGTGTTCTACTTTAAACTCTCTAAACCTATAAGCTATGTTAACTTACTAGTCATACTCAGATGCCTAGATTATTATCTCAACTTTAGAACTAATTTATCTTTGAGGTAAATCTCTCAAAGCCTTCTGTACTTATTTTTACAACTAATCAAAATATTTTTATAGCAGAACTAATACTTGTAGTTAGTGCTTAATTATTAAATTGCTATGCTTTTATAGAGTTTACTCAAACCATAGCATCTACTTCATAGCATAACTCCAGTACTTTAGTATACCTTTGAATTTCATCAAACTTCTAATCCAGATAGTCTATATAGGACTACAACTAGTTAATTAGTATATTAGATTGGCCTAATATTTTTTTTCTTTGGTTTGTTTTAGTGGCCTGGTTGGTAGTATCTTCAAAACTCTCAACCCAGAGGTTCTTGTCTGTTCAGTTACTAAAATTTAAGTATCTGTTTTCTCAAGCTAGTCTTTACAGTAATACTATCAAAGATTCAGCTATCTCTTTACTTAGGTTTTTCAAATAGACTTTTTGTTACCCAATTTCAATAAATTTATATAGCCACAAAAACTTATCTAGTGTTTGCACTACCTAGTTGTCAGTTTGCATTTTTCTATATAACTTCAACATTGCACAGATAATCTATAACCTGTCAGTTATACTAGTATGACTGTCATTACAGGTATCCTAATCTAATCATTAGTAACAGTTACCATAATATGAATATTACATAGATGATTATCCAAATTTTTGTTATTGATAGGATTTGAACATCCAACCTACCATTTGAAGGTTAACAAACTGACCACTTTACTAGGTTACTATATCTCTTAAAAAATGTTTTTAGTTTAGTAAAATGTTATTATTAACTAAATAAAGTTGTTTAAGATATATAATATTTAATTATCTTAGTTGTTTTTTAAAAATTAAATATTTTGGAATGTGATGACTTAGTAAAGTAAATAAGTTGTCAAGCTTCAAGTAGTAGGTAGTAAGTTCAAAACCTATTGATAGTGAAAATTTGAATAATCATCTATATAATATATAAATAGTATTATGTCAATAACATTTTGTTAATCAGTTGAAATAAGATATCTGTAATTACAATCACATTAGTATGACTGGCAGATTATAAAACATCTGTGCAATGTTGAAATTATATAAAGAAATGCAAACTGGCAATAGGCAATATAAATCTAAAATAAGTTCTTGTGACTATGTAAATCTGTAAAACTGGAAAGCCAGAGCTCACTTGGAAAGACCTAAGTAAAGAGGTAGCATAGATCTTTAACAGCATTACTACAAAGACTAGATCTAGAAAACAGATACTAATATAGAAAAAATCAGATAGAAAAGAATCTCAGATAAAAGGTACCACTAACTAGACTGCTAGAAGTCTTGAACTAGAGAAAAAAAACCTTGAAAAGTAAACCCTAAGATACCAGAAACAGGTTATAGTTTTTCTAAACTATCTGGATTAGGAGTTTGAGGTCAGAAGCAGAAGTATATTATAAGTACTAGAGATATGCTATGAAGTCAGTACTAAAGTCTAAATGAACTTTGCAAGTGTAAGCCTTGTTAACAAAGATTAAATATGGATAGTTAGTTAGTAAGAAGGCTTTCTGAAGCCTTACAGTTAGATAATATACTTTGAAATATATAATAACTTGACAGATATACAGAAAAAAATATCAAGGTTAGATTAAATAGCACTTAGATATATAGAAACTTATGTGCTATTTGTCAGTATAAGTATAGAGATTAAAGTGTTTAAATAGGTAATCTTCTAGTAGATTGCAGATATGACAACTAGTGTAAAACCTGCTATATGAACAAACTACTTAAAATAAACAACTAAAAGTTGTATGTGTGATTAGTTGTATACTTATTCTATACAAGTTATATAATTATAATTAAAATACAATAAAGGCAATAGTTACTGATAACTATGGTCTTAGTGAAAGCAAAAAAATAAATAATAATAATTAAATATTTTAAATATTATAATAGAATTTATTTTAGTAACTAGTCTTTATTACTAAGTGTATAGAGCCAAATTAAGTTAAAGTTAACTGAAATAGTTATATTAAAATAAGTAAGAAGTTAAATAATTTTAAAGTTTGATAAATGTTTATTAAAGTTATTAATAGTAGGTTTGAAATAATACTAGGTTAATGCATAGCATTGTGTGTCTGGAGTATATGATAATTATTATATTGCATAAACATGTGATTGCATATTTTTTGTTACACTAAAGTACACAGTGTTGGCATTTGGACTATGTTCAATAAAAATTTTGATTGGATATAGACAAATATGAACATTGACTAGTCAATATAGTGTCCATGTCCAAATAAAATATTGACTATAAAAATGTTCATGTAACAGTATTAACCAATAAAAATCATGCATGTGATACTATTTGAAATAATGTATATACATATATACATACATACATATGCACACACGCACGGATATTACTATGTAGCAATTACGTACAACCAAATTAAAATAGATCGCTGCAATGTTTTAAAATCGACTCTTCCAAACTTATTCAAATTATTAATGCAAGATGAAATTACTTAGAAATCTTTATAACATTAAGTGAGAAAATTTTAATGTTAAAAGAATATATAATTTTCGGTTAGTATGTTTTAAAACTTAATTAAGTTTCACAAAAAATCAAACGTAACTTTTTTAAAAAAATTAATTTCAACAAAAAAAATAAGATTTATTCTTTTTTAGATTACTGACAAAAAAATCTAATCGTAAGATGGTTTACTCTAGCATACGTGGGAGTTTGGATTCATACACAATTTTGTTAATTGGATGTAGCAATCAGGTGTCTGGTATAAATTTGGTCTTAATTTTTAAAGCATTATCTAATAAATAACCATCGAATAATGGAATTCAGTAGTATGTAATAAAGCATTACTGTACAGTAGCACAGATTTTGCCAGATACAAGGAAGACTTTAATGTTAGCAAATTTAGAGAACAAATAATTTTGCAATGAAATTTCTTCATCATGATATTTACATGTGCAAAATTTTATTTTTGCACTAGTTTGTGTTATGGTACTATACTACATTATTGTTTGATCAATAATCATAATTAGAATCTTTGAACTTTCACAATTTCGAAGCTTTTTATTATTATTAAATAAAAAATTCATGATAATCAAATAAAAATTTAAGACTTGTACTATTACAATATTATATACAATTATAATTGTTCTAGGTGCAAAATAAAAAATCCATGGTAATCAAATAAAAAATTTGTGCAGAACTAGAAAATAAAAGATTCTATTTTAGTAACTTTTATACATATAAGAGTTTCATGCTTGTTTATACAAAACAGTATAAATAAAAAAGTTCAGTTTTGAAAACAATATTTAAATAAAAGTTAAAATTTACTCTTAATTTTTTTTTACTATTCTGTTGTGCAAATATAGGTAAACCATCATATCATCTATCAGAATTCATAATCGTGCTTGAAGAAAAAGCAAATAAAAGTAATAAATATTGTGTTTGTAAAGAATGTATATCAGGTTCTTCATATGCAGAGACAGAAAAAAATAAATTTGCGAATATACAAGAACTTGTTCATCGTTACCTAAAAAATTGTATTTATTTTAAGCAAAAATACAATGATCAGAGCAAGCAGAAATTTTGAGCAAATCCGTTTCAGTAGCTAATAACTGTAAGTATATTAATTAGTATAGTTCTAATAAGTTATATATATATAATTATTAATTTGTTTTTGGTTTAGCTGAACAAGAAAATTTTAATGATAATTCTGAGGCTTCTTCATCAAAAAACTTATCTGAGGCTTCTTCATCAAAAAACTCAACAGCTAGTATTAGAAAAAATACACTTGATCATTATTGTTTCTGGCCCCTAAATGAAGAACAACAAAAACATTTTGAACAACTTATACTTAAAGCAACTGTATCATGCGGTTGGGCTTTTTCATAGGTAGAAAATCCAGAAATAAAGATGCTTTTTGAATTTGTTCATCCTTTAATTAAATTGCCATTACGAAAAAATCTTAGTGGTCAAATTTTATCTGAATCTACACAAAAAATAACCAAATCAATTAAAGAAATAGCACAAAATGATAAAGATAGGATTACATTAGTGTATGATGACTGGAAAAATATTAAAAAAGAATCGATTTTTGGAAGTATTTTAGTTACCTCTATGGGCAGGGTTCTTGTTTGGAATGCAGAGGATATAGCAAATGAACATACAAAATGGTTTGATGTGCAGCATCGAACTGAAAATATGCTTAGTGATCTAAAAAAAGAAAAAATTAAAGTTAATGCTGTTGTAATGGATTGTGCACCTGAATATGAAGCAGCTAGGTAATATAATATATATATATATATATTAAGTTTTTAATTAATATATTTATATACTTATTAAATTTAGAAAATGGTTACGATGATTATATCCTGAGATTGTATTTATTCCGTGCTTCACACATCAGATGAACTTGTGCGTTGGAGATATTTTTAAGAACTCAAATTTATTTTCAGTTGTTGCTAAAGAAGCTATTCATTTGGTGTCTTTTTTTCATCGATCAACTTTTTTTTTGGGGTGCCTTCATTCTGAGCAAATGGCTATATATAAGTCATACATTTTTTTTGTATCACCGAATTCTACTTAATGGAATAGTCACTACTTATGTTTTGCAAATATTATTAAATCTCGTGCTGCTTTTAAAAATTTAGCCACAAAAATTGAAGAAGGAAATGATGATAGTCTTAAAGATTTTTCCAAAAGTATTCTTTCAAATATTTCAAATAGTGAATGGTGGAAAAATCTTATGCAGTTAAAGGTTCTTCTTGAACCATATATGGCATTCTTAAATAAACTTCAACATGATAAAGGTCATCTTACTGAAGTTCTACATAGTTTCAGATAGGTGTATCAAGTAATTAAAGGTATTTCAGATAAAGCACTTAAAGATTATTTAATAACAAAATTAGAAAAGCGATGGTCTGCTTGGGAGCAGCTATTGTTGCTTTTATCTTTTTTATTACATCCAGATTACCGTATTAAATAATTTAATCAATGCAATGATAATTTGTTTTTTACAAATCTGGGACGATGGGTTGTACATTATTATAAATCTTGGGTTGGTAAACCCTCACATTCTATTTTACATGAATTACAATTATATAAAAACAAAGAATATCCGTTTGATAGAAAAACTTTTATTCAATTTAATGATATTTTACAATATTGGAAGTTTTGTAAAGGGGTTGCTATAGAATTACATCTTGTAGCAACCCGTATTTTCTTAATTTGTATAACTACAGCATCGGTAGAACAATTATTCTCAGCTATAAGATGGTATTACTCATTGCAACATAATCAACTTCAGGCAAACTTACTTTACTATTCTTTTATTTTTATTATTTTATTATTTTTTATTATTTTTTTATTAATTAGATATCAATATGTATTTGTCTATTTTATAATATAATAGCATAAAAAAGTTCTCACTATGTGCCAACTAAGATCGGAACTTTTACATTCACGAAATATTCTTGCTATTGACAAGTTACTAAAAACATACAAACAAAAGATTAGTATTTCATCTGAAAATAATGAACAAATAAGCCTTGACGATAATGAAGAGAAATTATACACATCAGAGGATGATAATGATATTAATATGAGGCAAAGTCAAATAAATGTTGAACAGCCAGAAATAGTTCGATGTGTGAATGACTAGAAAGTAATTGTAGAATGGTGGGTTAACCTGGCCAAAGAGAATGATGGTGATTATATGTTTAGCTTAAATGAGTTAGAAGGTTTGACTAATTTGTATGATAATGATCCAATATTTCAAGATGATATTTATCCTGATATTCATCCTGCAAATAATTTGGTGGCCAAATAGAAATTGGCAAATATTTTTGCTAATTCATTAACTCAACCCACTTATATTAATCTGCTTTTGGGGGGTCAAGAGTGTAATTAGCACTCATAAAAAGAATTATAAAAAAAATTGTACTGTTTTTAACTGTAATAAATTAGTTTAGAAAACACACATCTAAATCTACATATTTTTGCTTCAATATTATTGACTATTTTGCAATCAGTACTATTTGGTGCCTGTTTATTTTTTGCTTTGTGTAACAGAACACATTTATTCGGTAATAAAGTTTTTTTAAAAACATTTTTATATTGAGGAATTGAATTAACGCAGATCTCAATATTGTTATAACAATATGCGGATGTTCAAGAGAAATATACTTCAGTGAGATATCATATAATTTGCATAAAGTATAAGGCATAAAAAATTTATATTATAGGTTTGATATGAGTACTACAAAGAGAAAACCAGTAATTTTTATTAGATGAAGAATTATAGGTTTTCTCTTGTCAACTCAAAAAAAAAAAAAATTAGAATCATATTTTGGTATAAAGTTGTACAATTGGTAGATCACTATATATGTAATTGCTATTCCACAAGAGATTCATACATGCATACAGTATAAGATCATATTAATTTGCATATTTTATGCAAAGTATGTTTTTAATTTCAAATAAATGTATAGTCTATTAGAACTAAAATAATATACTCCAAGCAATGTATATAAGGTCAGAAAATTTAAAAAAAAAGAAACTTAATGTAATCTTAATTCTTTTTGGTATTATCGTTATATATACCATTATATGTTGATTACTTTAGCCAATCGAATTCTAAAAAATTGTGTTACACAAGTCACATGTTAAATTTGGACTAAGTGACTATGTCTATTTAAAAAATATAGACAATATGAATATAGTTCATATTTGTCTATATCCATTGATCCATATTGTCCATGTCCATATTTGGCCAATACTGAAAGTACAAATATAGACATGCATATGGACAAACAAAATTTTCAAAATTATGTTTTTGATGTATTAATAATTATTTAATCAAAAATGCAATTTTTGTATCATTATGACTAAACATTAAGTGTTCTCTACTACACTTCAAACAAATAAAATATTAATAAAAAACTATAAATTATTTAGTTATTATTAAAAGTTTGATTCAAGTTATAATACTAAAAAGATCAAAGTTGTTAATTTATTAAAGATAGTTAAAAATGTGATGCTGAAGCTTGATATTTCAAATATTATATATATTGTATAAAAATAAATTAAGCAAAAGATGGGGTCTTGTAGTCTAGTGGTCTAGGCACTCTTTCTTTTACAGACAAGATCAATAGTTTAATTTCAGCTAAAAGCAAAACTTTATAATCTACAGAAGCATATAAATATATATAAAGCTCTGTAGCTAAGTCCATGTAAATAGAAAATTAGTATATAAGGAAGTTTTCAGAAAGAAGTTTTCCAATATGGTGAGTTGGCATTTGATGTGAAGAAGCAGTAAATATATAAGAAATAGAGAGAAGACACACTAGTAGATAATACAGTGAATAGAAAAAAAAACTATAAAAAAGAAATAGACTTACTAAAATTCAAATATTTCTAATATTAAAACTAGTTTAGTAGATATAAGATATATTAAATTGGATTTAAGTAGTAGAGGCCTGCATTGGATCGTACAGCCTGGCCCAGCCCAGCATAGCCTGCAAAAATTTGCAGGTCAGGCTGGGCCTGAAGCAAAATTTTATAATTGCAGACTGGGTTAGACTAAAAAATTTGCAAAATTTTATAATTGCAAGTCAGTACAGGTCTAAAATTTTGTAAAATTATATAAGAAATTTTTGTAAACTGGGCTAGGCCAGGCTGGGCTGAAAAAAAAATTTAATATATGCAGGCCAGACTAAGCTAACAAAAAAATAGTATCTTTGAATATAGGTTAGACCAGATCAGAAAAAAAATTTTAACTCTAAATGCAAACCAGACTAGGCCTTAAAAATATGCAATTTATAGGCCTTTACTTTAGTAATAATCTTGGTATCAGCTTAATAAGCTTGTGTCAAAAGTAAATTCAAAGGAATATAGATACTTAGTAACATCTAACAAAGTGGTACTTTGATATAAATAGTAACTAAGATAGCTCTAATCTAACATGTTACTACAATAATAATATAAGTAATGTATATATATGCAATAAGTATTGAAAGTCAAAAAGTTTAAATAGAGAACTTACAGGCAGATCTTAGGTATAACATCTAGTAGGTAATCTATAAGCAGAACTCTTAATTAGATAATGACTAAAGTTATATATATAACTAGTTATATTTTCATTAATAGACTATTGTATATAAAATATATAATTATATGTTATTTAATAAAGGCATATAGGCAAAATTGCTGCTTCAAATTAAAAAAAATAAATAAATTAAGCATTGTATTGTTTAGTATAAATATAAAAAAATAAAACTTGTATTTATTATAATATAATATTTGCTTATATACAGTATAAGAAAGAATAATATTATATAGTCTGTATTTTAAAATTAAAATAATAACTATAATAATAATAATGTAGCTAATTTGTTTATTAGTAAATTTTTTTGTATTTACAATATTAATAAGATTAAAAGCCTTTTTTTTTATTAGTTTAATAGCTTGGAAATGTTTATTGCTAAGTGTAAACCAACATTCAAAAAAACTTAAAAGATTAGTTTTTAGAAATAAAGTAATTAAAGAATCAAAAAACATATTAAAGTAGTAAAAAAATTTGTAACTAAAATTAGCTTAGTTGGATTTATTTAAATATTAGCTATTTGGTAAAAAGAAGTAGCAGCTTTAGTTATTAGATTAAGTTTTTGTTTAAACTATACAATTTAGTAAATGCTATTTATATAAGCTAAAACTAATACAAATATTTTTTAAACATTGAATTTAAAATAAATATAGCTTAATTTTTCAAGATATAGACAGAATATTTTAAAAATTGTAATATAATTCTATTAATTAAAGAGTTATAATAGATTTTTTAAAATAGAAAAGTTATAATTATATTATTTTTAATTAAATAAAAATTAATAAGTTTAAGATTAAAAAAAACATAATTTTGTTGATTAGTAAAAAGTTTGTAAATATGTTAATAAAAGGTTAAACATTAATATCAATTAAGAGACTTAATAAAAAGCTCTAAATTAATAGAAATATATGCTATTCTTATATTCTAAAACAAAAGTTATATTTGTTTATTATTGCAGTTAATATTCTTAATAATGTTATTAAGTATATGTATAGAATAAAGATGCTATTGCCAGATAGAGCAAAATAATTATAGAAAATAGAATATTGTGTAAATATTAGATTAAAATAATTTGTAAAAAGTTTGATATATAACTTTTTAATATGTTTAACTAGACTAATAGGTCTTATATAAAATAGGTTTTTATTAAAAATAGGTTTTTTAAATATTAAAAAGATGCAATACTTTTTTATAGTTTATATATATAATTAGTTTAATTTATTAATTAAAAAAAGCAATTATTATTTAAAGAAAAACAGAGCTAGCTAGTTTAAGTATTTTATAACTAATTTCAAATAAACTATATATCTTATTGTTAAAAAGTTAGTTAAAGTCATAAACATTTTATTTGATAAAAATTTAACTAAAACTAAGCTATAATAATTTGATCTAATTGATATTTCTCTGACTAGTTACTATTAAATTTATAAATATTAATAGGTTTATAAGTAGTCTAGTTGTTAAAATATTGTTTAATATACTTTTTAATAAATTTAGAATCTGTTATAATATTATTTAGTAGTTTAATATTGCTAATTTTTACAAAATTCTTATAGCAGTTAGATATATTATTAATTATAACTTTATGTTTATTTTTTTTTTTTTATTTTTTTTTTTTTTTACTCTTTAACTAGTTCTGCCAAGATCTTTCACGTTCCTTCACATTTTTTTCAAACTAATGTTCTCAATATACTCTTGAAACTAGACCTCGACCTCCCCCAGTCTGTACTTTTAAACTTTCCAAAGATGATCATCGCACCAATCCCTACCAGTATCAGAAGGTTTTGCCAGGCTCTATTCAGAACCGACTGTCGCTATGAGTTCATGTAGTATCTTTTATTGTCAGACTTTCGGCCTCACATTACGTCTCATGACTTCGGTTATTCCAAATCGGATTCTAACTCATATTCATCACCAAGTGGCTTCTCAATTGCAGATCACTTGCCTTTTCTAGAAATAAGTTCATCTGATGACGTCCTGGGTCCCTGGTGCCGCGGTGTTGCAGTTCCCTATTTTAGAAATGCATCTTTACAATTGCCGTCACTAGGATTTGAACTGGCAACCTTGCGATTTGTAACCTCAGAGCATAACCGCTATGCTATCGACCCTAGAGGTCTTATGTTTATTTTAAAGTTTAAAGCACCATTTAGTAATATGCTAATTTATTTGTTTTTGAATTTGTTTAATATTTTTTATATTATAAATATAATAAAAAACTTGTTATTCAGTATTAATTTTTTTTTTAATGTTAAAGTAACTTCTTTGGCCTTTTGACTTTTATTAATAACTTATTGGTAATATAATTCAATGAACTACTACAGAAGAGAATACAATTGGCTATATATGTAACTTTTCTATATTGTCTATTTAAGGTGTCCACTCAAAAGTTTTCTACTAATTGCTATATCTAACACTTTTGCTTAGGTATTTTACTTTAAATTCTTTGGTTAACTTACTGGATTATACTTAGATGCTCATATCATTGTCTTAATCTTAGAACTAATTTATTCTTAAGATAAACCTCTTAGAGCCTTTTGTACTTATTTTTATAGCTGATCTAGGTATCATTATAGCAGAATCAATACTTGTGATTAGGGCTTAATCATTAAACTGCTATGTCTTTGTAAAGTTTACTTAGATCTTAGCATCTACTTCATAGCATAATACTAGTACTTTAGTATATTACTAAATTTTGTCAGACTTTTAATCCAAATAGCCTATATAGA